TGGTTCAACATACACAAATCTATAAATGTAATACAGCACATTAATAGAATCAAAGACAAAATCCACTTCATCATCTCAATAGGTCCAGAAAAATCCTTTGATAAGATTCAACACCACTTCATGATAAAAGCTCTAAGAAAATTAGGACTAGAAGGAATGTACCTCAATATTATAAAGGCTGCTATATGACAAACCTATAGCCAACATAATACTTAATGGAGAAAAACTGAAATCATTTCCCCTAAAATCATGAATGAGGCAAGGATTCCTGCTCTCTCCGCTACTATTCAAGGAAGCCCTGGAATTCCTAGCTAGAGCAATAAGGCAAGAAGAAGAAATAAAAGGAATAAAAATAGGTAAAGAAGCTGTCAAAATATCCGTATTTGCAGACAACATGATCGTACACCACAAAGACCCAAAAGTTCTACCCACAAACTCCTAGACACCATAAACAGCTACAGCAAGGTGGCAGGATACAAAATCAACTTACAAAAATCATTAGCTTTTCTGTACACCAACAATGAACAAATTGGGAAAGAATATATGAAAACAATTCCATTTACAATAGCCTCAAAAAAATCAAATACCTAGCAGTAAACTTAACAAAGTATGTGAATGACCTCTACAAGGAGATCTATGAACCTCTGAAGAAAGAGGTAGAGGAAGACTACAGAAAGTGGAAAGATCTCCCATGCCATTGGATTGGTAGAATCAACATAGTAAAAATGGTAATACTCCCAAAAGCAATCTACATGCTCAATGCAATTCCCATCAAAATCCCAATGACTTTCATCACAGAGATTGAAAAATCTACCCTAAAGTTCATTTGGAAGCACAAGAGACCTGCAAATAGCCAAGGCAATACTCAGCAAAAAGAGCACTGCTGGAGTTATCACAATACCTAGCTTCAAACTATATTTCAAAGCAATAACAATAAAAACAGCATGGTACTGGCACAAAAACAGACATGAAGACCAGTGGAACAGAATAGAAGACCTGGATATGAATCCACACAGCTATGCCCACCTTATTTTTGACAGAGGCACCAAAAACATATGATGGAAAAGACAGTCTCTTCAACAAATGTTTCTAGGAAAAGTGGTTATCAGCCTTCAGAAAGTGAAATTAAATCTATGTTTATCATTCTGTACTAGTATCAACTCAAAATGGATCAAGGACCTTAATTAATATCAGACTTGATACTCTGAAGTTAATTCAGAAAAGAGCAGGGAATACTCTGTAAGCAATAGGTATAGGCAAGGACTTCCTCAATAGAACCCCAGCAAATCAGCAACTAAGAGAAAGGATGGACAAATGGGATGCATGAAATTAAAAAGCTTTTGAACAACAAAAGAAATGGTCTCTAAGCTAAAGAGACCACTCACAGAGTGGTTAAAAATATTTGCTTGCTATACATCACACAAAGGACTGATAACCAGAATGTACATAGAGCTAAAAAAACTAACCCACCCAAAAAATCAATGAGCCAATAAAGAAATGGGCAACTGAGTTAAACAGAAAACTTTTTCAATAGAAGAAATCCAAATGGCCAAAAAACATATGAAAAAATGCTCACCATCCCTGGCCATAAAGGAAATGCATATCAAAACCACACTAAGATTCCACCTGACCCCCTGTTAGAATGGCTAGCATCAAGAACACCTACTACAACAAATGTTCACAAGAATGTGGGGAAAAGGAACCCTCATACACTGTTCGTGGGAATGCAAGCTAGTACAACCAGTCTGGAAAACAATATGGAGGGTTCTTAAAAAATTAAACATTGATCTGCCATATGATCCAGCAATCCCACTCCTAGGGATATATCCAAAGGACCCCACTACTCACAATAGCCAAGTTATGGAAACAGCCAAGATGCCCCATTACTGATGAATGGATTAAGAAAATGTAGTATATGTACAGAATGGAATTTTACCCAACCATGATGAAGAATTAAATCTTTTCATTCACAAGTAAATGGATGGAAATGGAGAGCATCATCTTAAGTGAAGTTACCCTGGCTCAGAAGGACAAAAATCATATGTTCTCCTTCATATCTGGACTTGATAGACTTTAAAAAGATATTGGTAACATACTAAGGAGAGAACACATGCATGAAGAATAGGGAAAGATAAGAAACCCTAAACTTGAAAGGGTTTATGTGTCCACTGTAGGGGAGCTAATATAATAACCTTAAAACAACAGAGCTCACAATGGAAAGGTGACCAGGAAGCAGTGAAGAGGTCTGGAAAAGATTAATCAATTTGGGTAATAATACACATGTGCAGAGAAGCAATGTTAGGACTTTCTCTGTATAGCTACTCTTATGTTAAACTAACAAAAATGCTTTCTTATTATTGTTTACATATTGTTTTTAATGAAATTGGAAAAGAGGGCAGAACAGGTTCTGCCTGGAAGTGAGAGGAGTGGGAGGGAGAAGGTGGGTTGGGGGAGAGAGTTGGGGGCAGGGGGGAGAAATAACCCAAACAATGTAGCACATATTAATAAACAAATATAAATAAGTAAACAAATAAATAAAATACCCCTATCACTTGTATTACCCTAAAAAAATAAGAACATTCAGAAAAGGTACTTGAACAGGAAAGCAATAAAATATTAGACATTTTCATTTTCTCAACACAAATTACCTTCCAATAAAATATATTTTATTTTTCTCAAACAAAATACTTCAAAATTTAAAACTTTTTCTACCCTTTTCTTAGTGCATTTGGTTAATCATAACAAAATACCATGAACCGTGTCACTTATAAGCAGAAACAGCAATCAGGTCTAGAGATTAGGAAGTCAAGTTTTATTTTTCTCAGTCCATGAGATTGACATCATTGCTGTTCACTTCTGAGATTTTCTGAATACACAAGCATGCACATCAGTGCTTTTCCTTTGTCTGTAAGCCTTTCATATAACTTAACCTGTCTTTCACATCAAGAATCTCAAGTCTGGGAAGCAGCCTATATGCCATGGTCTGGATTATGCTCTTTTCATAATTGGGGTGTCTTGGTTAAAGACTGTTTCCCATTCACTCTTGAATCTTTTAACTCTGACTTCAACAGAGAAAAGGCAGTGAAAGCAAATAGTAAATGGGAAAATTCCAGAATGAGAAAAAGAAGAAAAGTAAAGAACAAAGTCCCAACAAGTAGAATATGAGCTGTAATGCAGTAGATTAGAGCATCATTGTTGGTGACACCCAATATACTAGAGAGAAGTCAGTATCTAATTTAAAGGAATACAAAATGACCCATCCAGAAATCCACAAGGTCTGCTATTTATTAAACATACAAGATCTAGTTTTTCATGAGACCATCTGAAATTATTTTCTCTATGCTCCCTCTTTCTGTGTGTGTTCTCACTTTATACTTGGCAAGAACCTAAACAATTCAAGAATGGATCCAGATAAAGATACACATTAGAGGGAGAATGAACTGCTAGGTCTTCTTCAAAAAATCTTTCTTTCTTTCTTGTATCTTCTAAGTCCTTTGTGTGCCTGCTACATCCCATTGAGGAAACAAATGGAGTCCTCAGTAATGGTACAGTTTTCCAGCTATAGTGAAAAGAGACAGGGAAATCTTTAAAACAAACTTCTTCTCTTTGTGCCCCAGGAGAATACACTCATGTGGGGCAGACATGGTCCTCACAATATAATCTTACTGAAGCCATTCTTCATTATGGACATGGCCTTGGACATGCCCTGGAATATCTCATATTCTTCCTTACTAAATGAAAAGAAAACATTAGGCTTGTCAGATAAACCCTGTCCTTCTCTCATCAGAGCTACCTGTAGAGAGAATTTCTCTGGCATGTTTTTTGCTATGTGTTAAAAAGTAGGTTAAAACAATCTATAACATATTTCAAAATTACTAGATCAAAAGAGTAGAAAAATTCCCACATATAAAATGATTAATATTTAAAGAGATGGAAATATTTATTATCTGGTTTGTTTGTTGCACACTAGACACATATATCATGTTATCATAATGGACTCCATAAGTAGATATAACTCTTGTGTCTCAATAAAAAGTACACTTCTTTAAGGAGGTTTATGATTGTCCAGAAACTTCTCAATTGTTTGATTAATAAGTCTGCCTAATAAATCTAACAAAGTTAATTAAATTGTGTTATTTTCCAGATAATATGTTGGCCAATGAAGATTAAAAAATGGATAATCTTATTATGAAATGTAAAATCTAGTTACTACCTGGATTTTAAATAATCAATGATCTCTTAGATAATGCTAATATTTTATTTCAGTATCTTGGGTTGAGTTCCACATGTGTTTGCTTTATACCTATAAGAAAATATTAATGTATAAGGTTAGTCTACTCAAAAATAAATGCAGTGTTGAGGGTTTAGAGATGTAGCTCAATGGTAAAGCACTAACCTGCCTTATCAAGGTCCTGAGTTTGCGCTCCAAAATTAAATATTTTGTAAAAAGCACAAAATGTGAGAATATTAATTAAGAATAAGGCCAGGCTCTGTGGTTTATGCCTGTAATTCTAGCTACTCAGGAAGCAGAGATCAGGGGGATTGTGGTTCGAAGCCAGATAGGGCAAATAGTTTGTGAGACACTATCTCGAAATACCCTTCATAAAAATATGGCTGGTGAAGTGGCTCCAGTTGAAGGCCCTAAGTTCAAGCCCAGGTACAGAAAAAAAAAAAGAAGCATATTAAAACTTCTAAAAATATTGAATAAAAAGCAAATTTAATTCATAGAAACATGACAAATAAAAACCAAATTTTATAGTCATTGTTTTTGTCATAATGCAATCCATTTCAGAAGAAATTTTTTCAATGCCAACATCTTTGTTTCTCAAACAATATATCAGGGGATTAAACATTGGAGTTACAATGGTATAAAAGAGAGAAAGGAATTTATCTGTTCTTGCTGAATGACTGGACTTTGGTCTCAAATAAGTAATGATGGCTGATCCAAAGAATATAGCCACAACCATGAGGTGGGAAGAACAGGTGGAGAAGGACTTGGCTCACCCAGTTGCAGATGGAAGTTTCAAAACAGTTAAGACTATTTTCACATAAGATCCAAGTATCATCAAAAAAGGGATAGTGACAACTAGAAGAGCAATCAAATAAATCAACATCTCAATCATAAAAGTGTCCCCACATGCTAGTGTGAGGACTGCAGGTATGTCACAGAAAAAGTGGTTCAACTGGTTAGATCCACAGAAAGGTAGAGAGAAGATGAAATAAGTGAACCCTATGTGTACAGGAACTCCACTTGTCCAACAGCTGGCTGCCAGTTGAGTACATAGACTACTGTTCATGATGAGAGGATAGACTAATGGGTTGCAAATGGTAACATACCTGTCATATGCCATTGCAGTCAGAATGAAACACTCGGTGGCTCCCAAAACCAAAAAGAAATACATTTGAGTAGCACAGGCCAGAAAGGAAATATTTCTAGCTTGTCTATAGAGGTCTTGTAATAATCTGGGAACAGTGACTGACACATAACATATCTCCAGAAAAGAAAAATTTCCAAGGAAAAAGCACATGTGTATCTGAAAGGAAGGATCAACCTTGGTTATTATGATAATGAGGCTATTTCCTATCAGAATAATTATGTAGATTATCAAAACACCCTGAAAAGAAATCTTTGCAAATTATGAACATCAGAAAAGCCAAGTAAAATGAATTCCACCAGTGTCATGTGATTCCTCTGTGGAGGATTTTGTCCTGTAAATTCCATCTATGAATAATAAGATTTCAAGATTTAGAAGTCACTTTGGTCCATTGGGTTGAACTGCAAAATGGGACCTCTTGATGGGGTCAAGTCCTCTGATAAGCATAGATTTCCAATTAGAAAAGAAATCAAATTTCTTTGTTGGTTTTACATTTTTAGTGATACACTTCAAATCCAATATCCCAAATTTCTAGGACATAAAAAGAGAGAGAAACATGACAATATTTTCTTGCTGCTCACAGTAAGGGTATGGGTATGTGATAATACAACACAGCACAACAGACAAAATGAAATAAGAGCAAAATATGTCAGGGAGTTTAGGCTTAAGATATTATGTTCTGTAAAGTAAGATCTCATACAAGGTCTAACATCATTTCTTGCTATTTTTAAAATCTTTTTCTTTTTCTCCTTCATTTCATATTTTGGCAATTATTATCTCATTTTATATCTTCTCTAAACTTTATGTAATCCTTCTTATGTATAAATACACACATGCATATATACCTGCATACATACATATATAAATACATGGTTTTTCTTCCATAAGTCAACTTTTTAAAAAATCAACAGATGCAATTTTTAAAATGAATCCAGGTATGTTAGACTGTATAATAAAACAGCAATCAATATTAACCTTGTAGTTTATTGGGCCATACAAGATGTTAACTACTAAGGATATTAATAATAAAATAAAATATAAAGGCTCAGTTTCTGTCTTTACACATCTTAGGAAATAGTGGTTAAGTCAGATGGGTTTCATATATGACATTTCATGTTCACAACTCTATAGAGAGAAATTACTCAGCGTTATTTTAAGTGTCATACAATTACTTAACAAAGTTACAGCTAATATGAGACTTTGTCAGATCTTATGACAAAAGCATTTTGTTATTTTTACTATTATGGAAAAAATACACTTCAAGAGGAGAAAAAAAAATCCTTCAAATTCTCTCTCAGTTTTCTATTCCAATAGCTGGTCAGATACCAATATAGGTAACTGGTTTTTAAATGTTTATGAAGAATGATGGCAGAAATGGCAGAAGTCTCCCCTGATCTCTGAAATCCTGCTCAATTTTACTGTATTCAACTACTCACCAAAAACTTGACATCAAGGGTCTTAAAATGCAAACGAGATATATTAAGATAACAGGCTCTCATCAAAATTTTATCTTATTTAAAAATGTTTGAAATAATAATAAAATAATAATAATGATATGTAATTCAGGAAATTGTTTTGAGCAATGAGTAGCATTATCTGTATTAACTTTTTGACTTAACCTAAGCAACTGTAACTTTATCAAGCATAGCTTTTATGGCCATTATTTTACTTTCTGTGCTTACTATTTTTTCACCCGCTGCTATTTTTTATCTTTTGAAATTTTGCTTTTCTTTTGCCCTGCCTTTGATTAACCTTTTCTCAATCTATATGAGAAGAGAAAGTACAGAGCAGTATTTTGGCAGAAATAGTTGGCTTCAAATTAGTAGGTTATTTTATGCTGGTGCACTAAAACCAACAAAATAACTGAAGAAAACTCCTATAAGTCACTGGGCTCTTTCTTTATTTTGTCCGTCCAGAAAGAAAGTTGATTTTTTATATAAATGTAAAAAAACAAATTTAAAAATCCAACTCAATTTGTACTTAATGTAGGAAATAGAAATAACCTTCCTTCATCATTTTCTTTTCTAAGCTTGATCTATTCTTTCCATCATCATTTAGTGATATTTGACATCTCCCACATAGAATGTTTAGTTTCCCAATACCCTTACAAAAAAGTTTTTTCCTCCATCAAGAAAGCATTGTCCTTTGCCAATTATTACTGAGTTTTGTTTGTTTGTTTGTTTTAGCAGTGACTAGTATATCACTAGAAGAGAGTAGAGAGCTCTGAGTAGTTGAACTGTTTCTCTGTTATTGACAATTTTTGATCATGTATTTTGGTCATCATGTTACTGATGTTAAATGTGTTATCCTATTAATGCATTCTGAATGAAGGACATACTCTTATGTTTGCATTTTACATGATGAGCATAGAGAGTTTAAGTAACTTGAGCAAATATGAAGAAGTCAGATGTGACCTAAACAAATTCAATCTTAGTAGTGTAGTGTCAGAGTCCATATTATAAATGAAAACTAAATAGATTTCAGAATAAATTCAATAGAAAATATTATTTTGGATTTGATATTCTCAGTAATATCAATAAAAATTTGAGAAATAACCATTCAACCAAAATGTAATACCATGTCCACTAAAATATCAATTATCATTATAAAAATGAAAACCTAATTACTTTATAGGTACAGCCTATATGTTTTGAGTTCAGAAAGTGTAATGCATAGATTAATCTGGTTGAACGTACCTTATTTAATGGCTTTTGATTCATAAAATTGAAAATACACTATCATAAAATAACCAGGGAAAGAAGATACTACTCACTTTTTGCATATTGTGAAGAAATTACTATATGGTTCTTCTTTTACAAAGAGTTGTCTTATATAATGTAATGTTGAAGTTGTATTTTTCAAATAACAAATCCAAACATTTTTCTTTGCGCTTGAAATACATTTTTTACTTTTATTTCCATTATGTCACATTTTAGATAGGAAATAACCTTATTCATTGTGAAGGCCTCTTTTCCATGACATGTTGCATCTTTAAGCTCAGGAATCTGTTTATTAAGTTATAACGTAGGAAATAATCAAGGTTGTCTTTGATTGGATCAGTTCTTTATTGTCATGTCTGTCTCTGTGGAATATGGTCTGAGAACATTAGCCTCCTAGCCATTCCTCCCTGATTTCTCCCCATCCTATCCTCCTTCAGAGACTAGAGAAGTTCCCCAATTGGGAAACATTTTATGTCACATTCAAAAATCACAAAATTGGTCCGTGTCTAATATGAGATCTGGGGATATTGCTAAAACTAAAGCAGTGTATCAAAAAATTTATTTTTCATAAAAAATTAAATATATTAATTTTGCAGGACTGATGTTTTGATATGCATACACTGTAGAATGGCTAAACAGAGTTAATTAACAAAAGCCTTACCTCACATATTTATCATTTCCTTGATGAGAACACTTAAAATCCATATTGTCAGCAGTTTTCAAGAATACAGTCTCTGGGCTGAGGCTGTAGCTCAGCGGTAAAGTGCTTGCCTAGCATGTGCTAAGTCCTATGTTACATTCCCAGTACAAGAATATAACCCTTATGGTTAACTGTAATCACCATGTTGTACAAGAAATTCCTTGAGATTATTCCTTCTATCAATGTGTACTTTGGTATTTTTTTTCAAGCAGCTTTCTAACTTTTGCTCCTGGTAGCTACCATTTAAAAGTATCAGATCTCAACCTCAAAGAATGCATGTAAATTTTTTTCTAAGAACTCATATATAATCTAGGTTGTTTATGTGTTAATGGTCTCTATTCATGCTTTGGAGAGACTTTTTATAGGTAGTAAATAAGGAAAATACCTGAGTTTAGGAAAGAGAACATGGTAGATTGAGATTCTTTTCTGTAGATGATGATGGGGAAATGATGTATCTAAAACTTACAGGAGAGCCTGGCATACACCTGTAATCCAATAATTTAGCGGACTAATATAAGAACATCACAAGTTCAAGGCCAGTCTGATTTACATACCGATTTCTAGGCTAGTCTGAGTTAGAAAGTGAGAACCTGCCTCAAAATACCAAACCAGGCAACCATCCACCCACCAGTCATTCAGTCACACCAACCTACAAGTAGAGTGAATATTTTTGCTGCAATGAATTTTTGGCAATCTTTTGTAAATGTGATTATGTCTTCACACTTTCAATGTTTTTTTATTTATCATTTAGTAAATGTGTAATAATATAAAGTGTTATGCTATACTGTCTGAAGACAAAGAAATGTTTTTATCTGTAGATGGGTTACGACTTCTGCCTGCCAAACTCCTGCTTATCTTCTAGACTCAGGTAGTGTGTCATCCTATGAAAAGTGACCCATTATTCATGCAGGAATCATTAACTATTCAATGCATGCCCCCAAATCTCCCAATATCACTTCCTTTTGATTCTCAGTGTAAAATTTTTACTTGACAACATATCTTTTCTCCTTGAGTACTAGTCATTGGTCTTTTAGCTGGTGCACACCCCAGTCTCAAGTAACAAGACATGAACAAAGAACATGGAAGTTTTTCTCAGTAAGTTTTATCTGTATAATTTAAATCTTCAAATAACTAATCATATATATGTGTTTCCCTCCATCATGTGTAGTAAAATGTCAGAGAAAGGCCATATGAAATAACAGAATATACAATACTGCAAACAACAATGGAAGTCCAAAAACTAGTTAGGAAGGTATTGCAATCATATATGTAGGAGAAGAGGAGATAATGCCTTCTGCTCTATTTGAGTCCTGGCTTCAAGTCATTCTCTCAGTTCAGACGCTCAACTCAGACCCATGTATCTCCTGTGGGCTCTGTGAGGTACCTCTTTATTCACACTGGGTATCTGCATCTTGATTGGGTGGGACTGGCTTATATTTTTGTACTTGTCACAATGTGCCTCCCACACCTGGCCTCTGAATTAGATGCTGACATTAATTGGACATGCGAAATATGATACTAGAAACATGGACACTGAAATGCAGCAGGGATTTTACAGAAGAACCATCTTCCTCCTCGCAGGATGAGAATTTCATTGTTATTTAAAGTACTCACCATCACTGCATAATAGCGATACAGAGGTGTTATGAGGATTTCATATCCTTGCTTACACCTGTTCTGGGCTCTTTATCTGATGGATTGACTCCTTTGGAAACATTTTAAAATCTAATAGC